ACACACACACACACACACACACACACACACACACACACACACACACACACACACACACACCTCCCCCTCCCCCTCCCCAGATTGAGGTAGCGTGTTATTAGTAAGGCAGCCAATGTGCCTGTCGGTGTGTGTCAGAGAGAGATAAGCACAGGTAGAGAGAGTTACATAAGCCTCTGTTGATTACTGTGGAGGAGAGGGAGAGCAGAAAAGGAGAGTGAGAAGAAGAGAGAGAGAGAGAGAGCGAGAGAGTGAGAAAGACAGATTGCTGTACCTTAGTAAGTACATTGTGCTCTAATGTTGCCTGTATGGCTGGCTGGCAGTTGATAAGTAGCCTAGGCTTCTGGGGCTGGTTGAAAGGACAGTCATTAGGTTGGACTCCCTAGACTGGCAGCTTTGCTTCATAGATTGCAAGTTTGTTTTTGTTATAATGTTTAACAGGAGAAAAATAAACCCTTCTCAGGGTTTATTACATTAATATGGCATGACAGAGTGGTAATAAAAAATAAAAAAACAGCTTAATATACTTTCAGAGTCATGTGGATTCGCGGAGCAGATTTTTCATCTAAAACTGGTTTATTAATTTCATCTGCAAGTAGTTTTTTTCTTATATAAAAACGGGATAATATTTAAGTGTAAACCAACGATGAACTGATCCCACTGACAAGTGAGCATAGATCTCCACTCTTGTCTAAAAACAAACCACATGAGCCACACTGAGTGATGTGCTTCTTCATTATGACCAACATGGGCCTTGCAGTTTAGTTTGAGTCAATCCCACGCACACACACCATCCTGCTGCCAGAAATACTCACTTGTTTTTTCAATGTGTATTAATCTGCAGCTGAAAATAGTTCCCATAAATGAATCCTGTCGCTAAAAACGACAATGCCTTGCTGTTTTAAGTAAAGTACTCAGCCAATGTTTTCAGAGAAACTTCTCACTTGAGTTCCATTTTTAGACAAACACATGGGCTTGGGGCTGAATGCAACAATATGGGGGAGTCACAAAGTATTGAGAGACGGACTCGCAGTAGGTACATGGGATTTTTTTTTTGAAAATAAACTACAGATTAATGCCAACTTTATCTTTGAACAAACTAATTCTGCAGAGTAGAAGATAATATACCATCCTGTTCTGTCCTGCAGTTATTTTATAGTGTGTGAGTGATTTGATTTGATGTGACAACTTCAGAACGCATTAAACCTAAATGGAGTATCTGACACACTGATATGATGCCTAGTGAACATGATATAAAGATACATTCAGCATTAGATGTGATGTGAGGATTTATGAGGATAATGAGAATGATCAGGCTTGTCTGTCCATCCTGCAGGTTGATCATTTTAATAAGCTGAAGAATTATTATTTAACATGTTCTTACGGGGTTGTAAAGAAAACCAAGCAAAGTAAAAAACAAGGTAATATGGAACAGTGGATAGTCAGGTCAAATCGGCAGAACAATGTTGATGAGCGCTGTTTGGTTGTATAGTATCACAGACATTGTATGTTTTCATATCAGTGAGTTCACATTTCACACCGCCATCAGATATTTCACCTGTAAAGTTCCATTGATCTCTTCCTGCTCTCTAATGATACTAAACGCAGTACAACATGAGTGTTTCACATCACAGCCTTAAACTTCGACTAAGGGCCAACTTCACTCTGTTGTATCTGATCCAAACAACACCCATTATGTTTCACTACCTGGATATGTTAGTGCTCTCGGTAATGGCTTACTCCCATTCCAAGTTTGAAATCTTGAGCAAGCGATTAACATTATTGCCCCAGACTGCACTTGTTACAGTGGCCTACAGACACAAGTAGACACAGCAGACACAAAGGAGGCGATCATTATGGTGCATGCACACCTACATTTTCTTTTTGCCAGAATTATGGGTGACAGGGGTCAACTGCCACCTCACCTCGCTCACCTCCTTACAGTGCTATGGTTCAAACTCAAGGACACAAGTAGCTGGTGTCACACTGAAACAAAACTGCATGCATAAAAACACTCACTCTCTCTCACATGCGCCCGCGTGCGCGCACACACACACACGCACGCACACGCACACACACACACTCTCTGGACATCTCTACTCCTCTTTTCACACTTCATTCTCAATAGCACCTCTTCAAGTCATTACTTAAGTATGTGCATGTGTGTGTGCATGTGTGTGTTTGCCTTCATCTGTATGCCAAGCATTCGTCTAGAGGCCCTCCAGCCAGAACCAGCTTAGGAGCAGCTCAAGGCCAAACAAGTGTGAGGATTAAAGGAGAAATACAGTCCTCTCTTCTCCTCTCTCGCCTCAGCCAAGGAAGTGAATGAGCAACGCTCTCCTCTTCCTTAACTACCGCTGAGGTGCCCTTGAGCAAGGCTTTTGGAGTTGCTAAGTGCCTTACAGCAGAAGACTGTTGTGAAATTGGGCAGGTTCCAATTATCAAGGTGAAGCATGGTGTTAGAGGAGTTTTAATGCATACTAGATTTATGTCCATTACCAGTTACAGTTAGTGACAAGAGCTCTCCCCGAGCAGTGACTGCCATTTTACCTCACACACAGCACATTCATGACAACTACAGTAATAAATGAAGAAAATTGTAGGAACAGCATTGGTTGTTGTTTGCACTATGTAGATCCCATTAGAATTGTTATTTTTCTGCTTCTGACAAGCTAATTAAAATGTACAGGTACAGAGCTGGCATAAGAGGAAGTAAGGGAGGGGAAACTGTGAAAGCCTGTCAGGGGAGAGGGAGCCAGAGAGGTAAAAAAAAAAAGAAGAAAAAAAGAGAGAATAAAACAGAATAATTTACACTGAATACGAGTTAATGAGATCATCCAACAGGCGTACGGAAAATGCTGTGGTTCAGGTCTGTGCTTTGCAGCGTGTGTGTGGTCAGTGAAGATGATGAGTTAAGATTGTTTCTTGGTGTCAAACAACCTTCTTGATTAGACACGTTTTTAGTTTTTTTTTATCAGTTTTCACAAAAACATAATTTAATTTTGTGCAAAAAAAAAGAAAAGAAAAAAGTTGACAGTTAAGAAAATGTTTCCAGTATTTGAAAGGTGAGAAAATTGCAAAGAAAGTGCAAATTAGCTACTTAGTCTCTCTAAAACTAAAGTGTTTGTGCTGCAAATTGTTGATGTGACTTTTAGCCAGATTTGTGTATCATCTTAAAATCAAGTTTTTTTGTAATACAGATAAAATTAAATTTTATTTCTACTTTATATTTTTGTGGAAAAACAAGAAGCAGAAAATAATAAGCTTTACCTAAAATCCTCTTAATTGTATACCCAATACTCGAACTGTAAGGAGATTTAAGACATTTTTCATTAATCATTGGTTTTCAAAAGGTGTCTTTTCATGTTGCAGCTTGGCTGGAAAGTAAATAACCTTGTGGTGCCTGTGTCCCGGAGAGAAAAAGAGAACAAAAGGGGAAGTGAGATGGTCAAGGTGCTTCTCCGAACAAGAATTCAAGGGAGCGAGCGTCATGAGACGAGCCAACAGGAAATATAAAAAAGAGATGGGGAGAGGGATGGCTTGTACAAAAATGTGGAATAACAATAAGGAGGGCTTTTTATGTGTGAGACAGAGACTGCACACAATGATGCTCAAACACAAAATTCCCCTCTTTCTCACTGCCTCTCTTTTATTCAGTCTCAGTCACACAGACATGCCTGTGTGCACACACAGTGTTATGTAAATAGTCTCTTCGGCAGAGTGCTGCTGTCACTGAGCAAGCATCCTCTGGGCCATCTAGGCAGCCTCATTAAAACAAGGCACAGCATCCATTAATAGATAACAGTGCGTGCGTGTACACACACACACACACACACACACACACACACACACACACACACACACACACACACACACACACAGAGTTAGTAACACACAGAGCATTCACAGACACCAATAAAGGACCTCCCAGGAAGCACATCTCTAAATGTTCCTCTCAGGTGGCAGTCAAAAAATATCTCCAAGGAAACGGCTCAAATGTCACTGAGAACAATGCATGAAGAGAGTGTGTATGGCTGTCTGTGACTGGAGCTAGCATGAAGGAAGAATGGACTGTGTGTCTTTAAATGGACTCATGGCCAATGCCATAACACATATCCTCAATCTACAGCCGGTGTGTGTGTGTGTGTTACTGTTATTCATCTCCGTCTTCTCCCTCTCTCCAAACCTACTTTCAGTCCCTGTGTTTAATGCAGCACATTAGGTTAGGTGGGGTGGATGGGGTCATAGATGTCATAATAAAATTAAATCAGGCAAAAAAATGTAAAATAAACAAGAATAAAAAAAATATATAAAGAATTTAAGTTAGACCAGTTTGAATGCTCTTTGTTGCACTTCTGGAAGCATTAGTTAGTTAAGTTAAATTTATCCAGGAGCTCTCAGAGAGATCAAGGTGTCTTTTATGAGAGAGGCCTGAGAACAAATGATATACACACACACACAGAAACACACACACACACACACACACACAACATCACAACAATTCAGTTACACAAAGTAGTTATCACAAAGCCTCGTGATTAAATTGGTCATCATGCTTTTTTGCTTTCACTTGTTTTGTAGAAAAAGGATGGAAGAGAAAAATGTCTTAGATTGATAGAAAATGTTTTAGTTTTAGCAATCACCTGCAAATTATTATTTTATCAAGCTGCATCATTGCTGTGTGTGTAATCTTTGCTTCTTTTTTACATTGTGAAACAAAGTCACCTTCAATTCCTTTTTGTCAAAATATAGTCATTTCTAAGTTGTTAATTATTTTTTAAAATTGTTTCTTTATAGCCATCAACAGTGTCTGGTTTCACAGCTTCCTCCCATGTGTAAAATTATACAGACTATTTGGGAAAATCATGTTTAACGTTGGACTGGGAAAACACAAGAAATTAGAATTAAATTAATCATACAGTACATACTGTATGTATAGACTGTATATATTCCATTTAAACCCTGTAAAGTAAAAGGGGCCCCTGTTTGTTTGTGATCTGCTGGCCCCGCAGGTGGCTCCCGAGGTGTGGGCTTCATCCGCTTTGATAAGAGGATAGAGGCTGAGGAGGCCATCAAGGGCCTGAATGGACAGAAGCCATCGGGTGCTGCCGAGCCCATCACAGTCAAGTTCGCCAACAACCCCAGCCAGAAGACCAGCCAAGCCCTTCTGTCACAACTCTACCAGTCCCCCAATCGCCGATACCCAGGGCCCCTCCACCACCAGGCTCAGAGGTTCAGGTGAGTACTGGGGCGGGACATGGAGATAAACATGGAGGAGGAGGCGGGACAGAGAAGACACAGGATGGGGTGGGAACGTTTTCAGATAGCGTAGATACAGCATGAAGATTTATATCGGGAAATATTATTTTAAAGGTGTTGTTAATACAGAGTTTCCCAACCTTAGTAGATGATCCATTCTAAGGTTTTCTGATATTAATGTGGTGACCCAACCAAAATTCCTGAGTGATGTGAAATGATTGGCTGCTCTGTGGAGTCATACGGAAAGCAGTCCTGCTTGACAGTAAACTGTAATTGAACAGTGAACATGAGCAGCTTAATATTTGTCATTTTGAGTGGTGCAGTGGGAGGTGCTATTTCAACTGCTCCTGGTTCTAGACGTTTAAGTCCCATTGATTTCTTTACAGACAATGTTAATGAGTGAGGCATCGATGGACATGAAACATCTCTAAATGAGCAATCAGTGCAAAAGATGCATAATAACAGCTGCTAGCTGTTAGAAAATGTCTGGTTGATTGATCCAATCTACAGAATAAATAAATAACAATTTTGGAACAAATGTAACCTTTTGGCAAACATAGTGCCATGTTTTGTTCACAGCTGCAGCAAGGAAACATTTTGAATTTGCTGCTGCTCTGGCTTCTTCTACCAACAGCGACCAAAGCCGTCGCTAAGGAGAAGAAGCCAGGTTAATGTAGCATTTCAAGCATTCGGCCATAAAGTTAAAATAGTAAAAACTGATGACCATATCATGCATTGTGACATTATCCAGAGGCATCACCTCTTCCTATGTTGAGTAACATATAGGAGATCATTAAAAGAAAACTCTTGATTAAGAATTCAGAGTGGGAAATATACTTCTCATAGCCAGTAGCCATAGCCTCGTCTTTCCCAACTCTATTCCACAGACATTATGAAGAAATAAAATTAAACAAAGTGCCTAGAATAAGAATGAGGTCACAAGGTTAATCTGCTCACAAGGTTGGGAATCTCCAGGTTAATGTGCCCAAGCTAAGAATAATGGAAAGCTACTTTATGTATTTATTAGCAAACTTCACAAAGTAGTTTATGCATAATAATATAAATTCAAGAAAACAAGTATGTCATCTAATGTGTGTCTGGTATCATTAAATGACAAACAGGATTGCTATTTCATGTGTGGATATGAGAGATTTAAAGTCTAGGGGGTAAAAAGTACTGATACTGAGTCATCAGTCCTAAAGTCAGTAGCAATTATTCTTGGTTAACTTGACAATAAATGCATTTAATCAAGGAAACACGTCTGTTCTAAACAACAGGCCTGATTTGGAAAACATTTGCACCAAATGCCATTTACAGTGTTCGAACAGGGGATGTAACACCTACACGTAGAGAGCATGAGTCATAACAATGTCTATGTATCAGCAATGATGCAACTTTTCTCCTGTTAACATTCATGCCTGAAAAATACGTCCCCTTTTAGAACAACAGGTGTGAGCTCTGCGCCTGGTGCAGGTGTCAGTAAATCAGGTCCTGTGAGCACTCTGTGTGGGTCCACCCAGATCAGAGAGGAACTGTTCATAAGAGACTGTGGGGTTCTGTCGTTCACAACTACGTATTTCCCCTCATTTCATCATGCTGCCATCGAGCCAACACGTTCCCAGAATATTCCCTCTGAGGCCTGGGCAAAAACATGTGTTTGGATTCAAATATTGTAAATGTTTATCAAACAAAAAAAGATTCATTTAATAAGCATTCTTTGTCATTTTGCCTTTCAAGGCCTAATTCTGCATGATATGGTCATAATGATACAATGCACCATAATGTTGTAGTGCACTGTTGTAGTTTAACTCACTTTAAATACATTTGCCAGATGCAAGACATAATTTATGGTATTAAATACTGCATTAGTCCCTGCATTAAAACCTGAAGTTATTTAAGAGACTTATGTCTTAAATCTAGTGAACAAAGGGCAAATTAAAACAGATGATGTCCAAATTAATTCGAGGATTTGCATTTTAACCTTGTTGCAACTTAATTAAATTGAGTGCATATGAAAGAAGAAAGTTTTTTGCCCAGGTCATTCAGCTCTACACCAAGCCATCACTTAACTTTATATATACAGTATACAGCTGACATACTGTATATATGGCATCCTACCTGTTCATTTCCTGTCGCTCACTGATGACACAAACAGTCCTTTTTTTTTTAGTTTGAATGTTTTACAACACTAGAGATGGTTAGGGCTTATTCCTTGGGGTCTTGTTACCTTTAACCTCAACTACAAGACCGAGACAGAAACAGGTGATCGTATGATATTACGCTCTATCATCCAATCCAACAAGAATGTTTCAGAATTGGAGACAGAATGCGTACTTATACAATTTCCTCTCTCTTTCAATAACAGTAAGCCGGTCGTGCTGTTTACTCTCCATCAAAGTCAGAGCTTGGAAGGTATTTTTCTTCTGGAGCGGCTTCCCTGGTGTGACACCTGAGCGATGTAGCGTGGCTGTGTGTCTGTGATACGCCAAGCCAATTTACAGGCTCTGCAGGAGAGCTGTCGCTTCTCATCACAACTCACAACCACAGGACACTTCCTCACTGTGTCCCTGTGCTCCTGCTCTCTGCTCCCAAGCCCTCCACTAAAACCTCAACACTTCAGAAGTTATAAATGTGCTCGATGTGCACAGTCTCCCTTTTTTTTTTAACTCAATCTTTTAAGGACAACAGTGCAAAAGGGCATTTTCTATTTCCTTATATAACAAAGAATTCTGTCAAGGCCGCCCTATTATTAACTCCTCAATAAGGCAAAATTAAAGTAATTAAAGTTTAAGCTAAAATATATCTAGAGTGATTATGTTTCAAACTTTTAAATGTATTTAGTGAACTGAATTAATGATGCATAAATCAACTTTAAATGCTAGTTAGCGCTGACAATAAAATCGATTTACTAGATATTGTTAAATTAATACTTCCCTCACATGCCTAACAAGTTGCTGCACATATGTGAAAAAAAAAAAAAGAAAAAAAAAAGACTTGGCAGAATACAGTACAATCCACCTACAGTTGTAATTACATCCATCCTATGTGACTAAATGATGTGGGCCTGCTGTAACACAAGTTAATGTATAATGTGCTTGTATGGTCCCTCTACAAGACAGCAAACATAATCGACTGAAGCACAATACACCTAGCCCTAGATCCCGGCTCGTTTCCGATCCTCTGTCGTTAACTAATGGTACTAATTAGCAAATTAGCCTTATTATATCCAGGGCAGGAGCCAATTTTAATTGAACAGATTTTTGTTTCAAAAAAGAAAAGACAAAAACGCCCATTCCTCCATTAACATGCATTGAGAGAAAGCACAAAAGCCCTATTGTTTATATCGAGCTTGGAGAGGCAGTGTGAAAAGCTGGCAGAGTGTTTGCGTGGTGAGCATGCATCAGTGTGCATTCGTACATGTGTGTGAGCGAGAGAGAGGGACTGAGAGAGGGAGAGGGAGTGTGTTAGCAGCAGGTTGTTTTGTTGTGGCCCAATGGCCCGGCGGCCAGCAGATGTCTTAGTGCTCCCAGGTCTGGAGCGTCTCTCCTCTGAGCATCCTCTTCAATTGACTCATTTACCCACAAAGCAGTCTGCTTGTTCCCTTCCCACGTAATGGACTAATTAAGGCTTTAATGATTCTGTATATCCTTTCCTCCAGATTTTTCCTTGTTTTGGGGCTATTTTGTATTTTTAAGAGATAAATGTGCTACAATGCAGAGACACTTTGACCCCAGCAGACCTACAATGTACTCAGTTACTTTAATGTAACAAAGGTCAAATAGATTAACAGTGTGTGGGGATTTCAGTGTTGTACTTATCACAGTATGACTTTATTTACTCATCTTAAACATTTAAAATAAAAAATAAAAATCAACTGATGTAAAGCAAGTGTTAAAATAATATTTTAAAACAGGTTATTGCAGTGCATTTCAGTCCAGATACGCAATACCCAGAGTAAATTATCAGGTGCTTAACTACAATTATCTGGCATCCCGGTGTTAAATTGTCCCTGATTAGAAGACTACTGATCTGTTATCTCTAATGTGTAATGTAAATTAAATTTAAGATGATTAATATAAATAGTATATTAGAGTTATTACTATGAAAGTTATTTATTACACTCCTACAAAATCTAATTGGTGTCTTAATTGCAATCAAATAATAATGAAGTTGTGTATATATATCAAGTAAGAAAATACTGTTGCTTCTAAATGGTGCTGATAGTAGAAGAGGTATCTGGATGATGATGTGGTTAAAACAATTACATTTTCAATGAGATGTTAATGCTAACTTGAAGGTTTTTGTAAATACTGTGAAGCACTATTGTTGCAAGAAAGCAAAGGCTTGTTGACTGAAAGAGACAAGGAGAAACAACCCTGACAGTCGGGTCAAAGTCAGAGAGTTTGTAGTGTTTTCAAGAGGAACGAGGCGTCACCGGCCAGCTGTTGCTCAATAAGCCGTGGCCCCTGTCCATTAGGCCAGAGGAGTTAATAAGACATGAGACAGGCCAGACCCAAGTGAGGAATGAAGGTCATTGAGTCACCAAACAGACTGCATCCATCCAAGAGGGCCAACATTTCATACAGCCCACAGGTTCTGTAGCCTGGCTCACAAACAGACACACACACACACACACACACACACACACACACACACACACTGTAGTTAACCCTGACTGACTGCAATGCCTGTAGCTCGCAGGCTGAAATTATTATGAAACCAGAACATTTCCCAAAAACTAACCCTTTGAGGACACCCTGTAACTCAGCCATTCCACATGACCTGTTAGCACTTAACAGATTGACCCCAACCACAAAGACAGACATTCACAATTTCATGGCTAGTTTAATGTTCGGTTGTGATTTTTTGTTGGTCTTCCTCATAGAAAACATACTAATCATCATCGCCTCTCTCGCTCACCATCATTCAAATACCAAACCATTACACTGACAGAACTCTGGATCATTTCCTGTCATCTCAGGTGTTCTCTCAATTGAGTTAACACAAACTAAAGATCATAGTTTATGAAAAGAAATTTTCATTAACCTCCATCTTTTAATAAACCATCAATGTGGTGGCATAAATTGTATGGATACCCACATGTAATTTCCTGTAATGTAAAATAAGGCAATTATTTGCCATTGGTTGCACTATGGCAAGCCTAGCATCCTAGTATAGCTGAGTGCCATGCTATGCTCCAGTCCTGCCACCATTAGTGCTCTGCATGTGACTGTAATACTGAACTGTGACCAGTCCACTGCTGTAGTCTTGTATAACAATTAAACCATTGCACCTACCATAATGACAATGTGCTCATAGCACTCTGCTCTAGCATTAGCCAGTGCAGGGCTATGCTGAAACCTATGAAATAGCGCAGTGGCCGACTGAGCAAGTGCTGACCATACTGATGGTACTGTAGATTCATTAACTGATGATAGCATTTTCTGGTGGGGCTCCTCAGTGTAATGGGCCAACTGTAGATGGGTTTGTTTGTTCTTGAGTGAGGAGGACCATGCAGTTCCTACAGGGACTTAACATTAGTTCCATTGAGTGAGTCGACCATCTGCCCACCATTAACCCCAGAACCCTCCTTCTCTTTACAGGCTGGACAATTTGCTTAATATGGCCTATGGCGTAAAGAGGTAATTAAAAACTTCACCCAATGCCAGATGTCCATGTTGACTCAATGATTTTTCAATATCCTTTTTTCTGTTCTTTTTTTAGTTTATGTTTCCTTGTATTTTTGCAGTCACTTTGCGTTTGACAATTCGTTCAAGGTCAACTGCATTTTTGGTTCTTTAATTTGTTTGGTTTTTTCCTCGTCAGCTTGAGTTGGTTTTAAAACCCTACCAACCACTTAAGGTGTAAAAAAAAAAAAAAAAAAAAAAAAAAAAAAGCAGAAAACAATCAGTCTTTGTTTTCAGTGGTGATGAATTTGCTTTGTTTTGATTATGACAAGTGCTGGTGTTGTTTGGATTGTTTTTGGGTTGTTTCTGTGTACTGAATGGATTTTGTTCTCTGGTGTAAAACTCCTAATTTCTAGGTGTGTTGTTTTCTACCGGATTCAGGTTCTCCTGCCTTGTCACTCTACAGCTATATACTCTCTTTGGAAGCAAAATTTTAATGTGTCACATTGATTTTATGGAGATTTCCTGACTAGATCATTAGAAAAAGACCTTTGAACATCCACTATCACCTATGTGCAGACTCCTCTGTGTGATAGATCTATATCTGTACGATGGAAGTCACGACAAAATTACACCGTATATTGCCTTAATTTCTTGGCAGCACTAGCTGAGATAAGGTGTTGTTTAGCTAGGACATGGGATGAGGCTGGATGAACCTGGATCCCTGCTGGAAACAGGAAATGCTGTTTCACTGCAGACAGCTCCAGCTTTGGCACTGCTCTGCTCGAATTCCTTCCTTTCGCCTCCATGTTTCATTTTGCTTTCTCGCTACCATAGGTGTTACATAACCCAGAGCAGCAGCCACCGTGGTGATAGATGTTTCATGTGCTGACAGTGGCATCCTGCATGTTGCGAGCACAGGGGACACCATCTGATGTCAGCTTAACTACTCAAAGTTTTGGCTCGAGAGAAATGTTCCCTTAGCAAGTTCCCTTAAAAAGCAGTCATTTTGTCAAATGCAGGAATTAAGAATCTAGTTACAGAATAACACATTAATAGTGATGCAGTGTGGCATTCACATGTTTAACCCTAGTGCCCCCTTGCCTGGTAAGCACTGAGCCCCTCTCTCTGAGTCTTTACATGATTTTCTAAAGGTGAAAACAATGTCTGATTCAGCCGCCCTGATTGCATAGCATGTCATCAAGTTAGAGGTGCGTCAATGATCTGAGGTTATTATATGAAAAGAAAGAGCAGAAGGGTGTTAAGAGCTGGAAATGGTTGGCTTTAGAAAGGACAGAATAGATATCTGGTCAGCTACACTGTTGCTATGCAACCCCTGGTCTCGTCTGTAACATTGGTTAGTGTTTGGTCCCGCTCTGATGGGTACGTTCGCATGCACGTTTACACACACACACACACACACACACACACACAGGCACACTCATCTCCTCATCCTCGCAGTGTGAGCTAGCCTCCAAACCGTCACCCTCACACTCACAAACCTCCTCACATACTCCAGCTTTTGCATACAAATCACCACAAGTCTTTTTTCAAGCCCAGCAGGAGAGGCCTGAACACAGCCCGGCAAGTCAGACAAGGCCTCGACACGTTCAATGCTCGAGAAAATATGAAAATCGTTTCAACAAGACATTGAGGCCACATAGAGATATGAGAGACAAAGGATTTTAGCCTATTATAATACAGCTTGCTGCTGCAGCATCCCTATGGTGACTATAAAAAAATTGCCTTGTATCTCAGTCATATAGATTTATGATATAGTTCCTCTACTACAACCTGTTTCTCTTATACTACTACAATACTCAACACATGAAATAAAAAAAAAAGGCTAATTGGTGCAGAGAGCCCTTTGCAGTAAATGAGCTGACCACCCTAGGAGCTTGTATTAGTGTTCACAGCAACTACAAAAGCCAGAAGCAGACTCTGCATGACCAAAGTCATGCAGGAAGGTCATAGTGATTGCTGCCCATATATAGTTGCTGGATAGAGAGAGAGGGGTGGGGGCCCCAAGCAGCAAGTCGTGCTATCGATCAGTGCCACGAGCTCTGGAATAGACCAGAACAGAAAGCCCTGCAGACTGCGGGAGGAGTGGGAGGAATACACTTTGTACCTTAATGCCATTGGGCTGTAAAGTGCTTCCATTTTCCATCTAGTTTGCTCCCTCTTCCCTCCCTCCTTTTTCTTAAGGAAGCAGCCTTCTCTGAGACAGCTGCAGCAAAGCGGAAATCTCAATTAAAGCACGCCCAATAATGCCTATCGTCGTTTCTTGGAGGGAGGTGGCATAAGAAATGAACCTTTTTATCTCATTTACCTTTTATTTAAAAGTAGGGGTATTTTTTTCTCCTTTCCCTTTCCTTTGAGCGGAAAGGCAATTAAGTGAAGTCAACTGAGGATTCAAATCTCTTGCATCACAAGAAAAAGGAGAAGATTATGAGGCGAATGAGAACAGATTTAGCAGGCTGGTGCATGATCTTTGATGAATTTCTAGCAACGGTTTAATTCAACAACTTCCTGCAATTTAGCTCCTGAAGGAGCTACTCAAGGACACAAAGACAGAACCTTCATCCGCATCTCCTTCAGCAGAAATATAGCCCTGCATGCAGCACTGTCGTCACTCCTGACAGGAGGCCTTTCAGAACTGAGGAGCTCAGGGAGGCTTTAGTGGTACAGTGCAGGCTCACATACAAACTCATGCATTTAGACATAAACATACAGTACATGCACATACATAAGCATCCATGCGTATGTATCCTAATTGATCTGAATTGTTTACTTGTCTTGGAGATCAGTGTCTTTGCGATTGGTAAACTGCAAATATTTTGCAGATTAAGCCCTCAAGCTTGTTATGTTATATGGCTGTAGATAGTGGTGTATCATGCAGGTGAGCACCATGGCAAGCTTTAGATTTGGAAGGAGGATTTAAAGCTATTTGTGAGGTAAAAGCAAGATGGAGATAGGGTTTTCACCAGTTTATGGCCATTCCATGAAGACACAGACATTGAGTTTCACTGAATGCCTTTACCTGTTCAATTAAAATTTGCTTTCTTCTCTCTCCCTTTCTTTCTGCACTCCCTCCATGTTCCCCCACTCTGCCTCTCCTCTCAGGTTTTCTCCCATCACCATTGACAGCATGACCAGCCTGGTCGGCATGAACATCCCTGGGCACACGGGCACTGGTTGGTGCATCTTCGTGTACAACCTGTCCCCAGATTCTGACGAGAGTGTGCTCTGGCAGCTGTTCGGGCCGTTTGGTGCCGTCAACAATGTCAAGGTGATCCGTGACTTCAACACCAACAAGTGCAAAGGCTTCGGCTTCGTCACCATGACGAATTATGACGAGGCGGCCATGGCCATCGCCAGTCTCAACGGCTACAGGTTGGGTGACCGTGTCTTGCAAGTCTCCTTCAAGACTAACAAGACACACAAGTCCTGAACTTTAACAGGTAGAAGCAGTTGCCCCGCGACTTTGTCTGCTCCAAAATTGCCCCCAACCTCCCCCCTCACCTCCACCCGTCCCTTAGCCCCTTCAGTCACTACCACTACCACCCTACTACAGCCATCCAACACAGCAAACTCAAACTCCAACCGGAACACAAAGCAACCGACAAACCATCAAACAAATTGAACTAGAAATGGCTTATATTATAACTTTGGACCTATAAGCCAATGTTGCCTAAGTATTACAAAAATGAAATGATGAAAATGTTCATGAGTTTTTGGAAGGTCCTGTGATAATGCAGGCTTCTCTTTGTTGTATATTCTTTCTGTTTGTTGTGGTTGTTAAAATGATTTTTCTCTTCTGTGTAAACAGTAGCAAATCCCTGTATCCCCTTATTTCAGAGAAGAGAATGTCCTTTTTAGATTGAAACCTTTTCTCTGTCTTGATTCAGGATTTGTTTTCCTTTTGTAAATCCGGATCCACTGTCGTTAGTATTATATACCTCCCTGTCGGTGAAAGGGAGGGGGCTCTTTTTTAAATTGGTGAACCATTCATTCATTTTTAGTGTGTATTAAAAACTTCCCCTGGTCGATTATAGATGGGATTCCACAATCCCAGTAACTCTTATGTAGAAAAAAAATGAATTTCTAACATTGTTTTTGTTTTGTATCGCAAACAAAACATAATGTCTTTCCTCACAGGGGTTCAGGGAGATGGGGCGAGGGAGGGGATGGGTTAGCTTTCCTGATGACACGTTCAGTAATTTAAGAAAAAAAAAAAATAACACTGTTGCCAAAGAGAAGATCTCTTTGCTTGAAAAAATGCGTTTAGAAAAAGATAAAAATAAAGAGAAAGAAGATCTATTTTTATAAATGATAATTAAAATAATAATTATTGAAGAATTTTTACAAGAATCTGGATTTGAAAAAAGAGAAAAATATTTTGACTGGCTAACTAGGGGGGGCCGGGGCGGGAGGGAGGGGGCACCACCTTGTCTTGTCGTTCTGCCGTGGTACTTTATAGGATCAAAGGTTGTTTGTTTTTTGGGGAATCCAAGTTGGCAGTGATTTTGTAGAAGGAAGGTTTTGTGAAAAGGGATGCAAACTGAGGCAGGTGATTTTGGTAATTTTTCACATATGTACTAGTGCGTAATTATTCAACAGCGATACCCAAAAGGGAAGGGAGAGGGGTCTTTCCAAGGCCTAACCATCCTTATAGTCCAGAGCCCAAAGCAAGAAGACCCTTTGTCCACTTGTTTTCCTGTTTTTGTCATCAGTCAATATGGGATATCAGTAAATAGATATATACACATCTATCCATTTAGAGAGCATACTATACATTATCTATATCATTTTCTTCGCTCTGCGTTGGTGAACTTACATTTGAAAAGAACTTCCTTTTAGCGATCAAACGTAGGTGCTATACTACATTATTCACATATCTTAAATATCCAAGTTTGTTGTTCTATGTGTTGTTTAAAGAAAAAAAAATACTTCGATGTTGGCATTGAATTGAGCTGCTGTTCTTTGTTTAATATTTGTTTATTGTTGGCCCACAAAAATCTGGTGAGACTATTTCTTTGCTGAATAACCAGATAAACGACTTTGGGCCTTGTAAGAATCACTGAACAAATTTTTATTTTGTATTTTTTTTGTTTGGCTTGCTGACTTTTAGGTTACTTGCTGAGCGTGAAACGTTTGTCAAAACTTAATGATGATTAGCTAGTTCCGTTAGTCTAGATATTTGTTTCCTTAAAAAGGATCTATGACAACTGTGTCTTTATTTGCTGTGTACAAATAGATGATATATATATATATATATAGTCTACATTTGTTTTACAATATCTACTGTACTATCTGAGTTGTCACTGTTCTTTTGTTTGAGCTTGTCTTTTTCATATGACAACTTATTATGAAGTGGTGGTTCAGTTACTTAGAAAAACTTGTGAGGAAACTGTTCAATTGTTGTCATGTTGCTTGTGGAGAAAAAAAAAAAGATTTGGATTAACTTTCAGTTAACTACCGCGGCAAAAGAAACCGAACAAAAGCTTAGAATATAACTGTATTTGTTTAGCAGTTTATTTACTTATCTATTTTTTAAACTATTTATTTTTCTATTTATTTTTATTTATTATATATTTATTTATTTATTAATTTATCTGTGTATTTATGTATTTATTTGTTTCATTGTCTGTGTATTTGCGTGATTCTGGTACAGGGAGGGGGGCGTTTCTGAGCAAAAGGGAACAAAGCGACTAGTGGAGAGGCTCTTCCAGTAGTCCACTGCACTGAGAGAACTTTTAGTACGTTTGTGCTTTGTACCAATATATCAAAATTACAATATAAAAAAATCTAAAAGTCAAGAAAACTGAAAAAAATGTCTGGAGGGTTGGGGGACGCTCTTCCCTTATTACTAGAAACAGTTACTCGCTATGCATAACCTAGTTAATAGTTAAATTTGCTATTGCTTTTTTCTTGTCTTGTTAAAATGAAATCTTTAGATCTTTTTCAATAAAGTTTAGTCTTAATAGAATGTTATAAACAGTCGTTCTGGTTCAATATAACCTGTGATAAGTTTGTGTAGTTCTAAAAAGCCACTCCGTCCACACCCTCCCTCCACTTACTACCGCTTTGTGATGAAACCTTATGCAAAAATGTGGGTCTGAAAGCATAGTTTTCAGTTTTCAGTAAACATTTTATATAACATTCAGCTCTTGGAGGCTTGGGCAGATACATTTTAAAAAGGAGCAAATGCCCATTGTTGTTTGAGGGTCATTCATTGCACTGGACTAAATCGGTCAAAATCACTTAAGAGTCAAAAATTATTTTTAAAAATATTCATCATGTTTTCAAATGACATACCAACAAATCTTTAAAAATGAGAAATTGTTACCATTGCACACCAACTGTTATTTACAGCAGTTGTTGCTATACTTAAGTACTCTGGAGGTATGAAAAGGGATTGTACCGATTCTATATTTTATATACTCTAATATGATATATATTATATATTTTGAAAGGTGAAAGGTAAGGGAATGGTTCCAGAAGTATAAATATAAGGAATTGGATTTTTTTTGTTTGTTGTTAAGACTTGAAAACATGAAGGAGGTGTGTGGAGAGCATTTTAAACACTCAGACGCATGCTCGCATAGTACATCCTTCTCTCTCACACCTCAGTCATCTGACAGGCCGGGTCATCTGATATCATCACCATTATCCAATCATCATCTGCGCCATCCAATCACATAAGTGTTCTAGTGTCATAACGGCAACAAACCAACCCACCAACCCACCAGACCCCGTCATGCTCCCCGCCGCCGCCGGGAGCTTGAATTATGCAACGACCCCAGTAGAATGTTGTTCTGATGTGTGAAATAATTTCCTACACTGTATGACTTTTGAACTCTTACGATGCGTGCCTGTGTTCCGCCTAGACCCTGTGTGCACATGGGCGTGCGTGTGTGTGTGTGCGTGCGCGCGCATGTGTGCATGTTTGTATGCATGTTCCTTTATGTAACTGTGTGCGTGTTGTGTGTTTGTCCTCATATGTTTGTTAGCGTGGAGTACATCCAGGTGTGTGTATGTACAGTATATACATATGTTAAGTGTTTGTTATTATGTGTGTGTGATTGTGCATTTGGGTCTGTTCAGTGCACATATATACAAAACGTATGTGTGTGTCTCCTTGAGTGCATGTGCGCGCGGGTGTGAAAGAGATAAGAAGCACGTGCGGTTGTTGAAAATGTGTGTGTGTGTGTGAGAATGTGTGTGCATGTCAGGGTGTTTGAAACATGGGGCTGTGTCACCTCGCTCTATGCCCAACCCCTATGGCTCACACCATCCCCTGTAGCGCCTTATAGTGGCAGCCTGCCAGTAGGAACAACGCAGCCAGTAGTGGAGGAGGGAAGGTGAACAGAGGAACTAGGCTCTTCTTGTCAGTTTTCATTTTCCTCCTGAGACGTGTTTGTTTACTATCTGAAAAATCTATAAACGAAATCTTTAAAGACAAAAAAGACGAAAAAATGTTCACAGGGCCCCATGACCGCGGCTCTCTCTACTCTCTCCTGCTTATGTTATTACTTAACAATTATCAATGATGATTATTATGATTATTATTGCTATTATTCTTAGTATTCTTATTCTTATTATTAATCCAATTACTGCGATGAATGACTTCATGTTATCCTTGCTAGTTTAGGTCATTTCTGAAACTGGAAACAAAATAAAAATCTTGCTGTAAATGTTTGTTTTTTCTTTTTCATAAAACTGTTGTGTTTGAATTATTTGTACTTTTGAATGTTGGGACAATAAAATGAGGTGTTAAGAGCTTGGATGTTTCTTGTCGTGATGGATGAGGCATTCAAACATTTCACTCTCTACACACTGCATACTATAAGGAACTTCTTCCAGATAAGCTTTAAAATCCGTCTCTAAGTTGTTGCTTCTCTTTATCCACCTTTCTTTTGCTATTGGTCAGATTTAGTAAGGTAAATCAATGCTGTGCAATAGACATCATCTCATAAGCGTGTGTAATGAACAGTGCCCCTGATTTATTGCATATTCAGTGAACATTGCAGGAGTGTAAACTGGAGATTTGTATATTCTATATTTGTCACTTAATTCAGCTGACAGAAAATTCAATAAAAGATTAATTGAGTCATTTATCAAGGAAAAACTGAAATATTTGACAGTTCCAGCCTCTCAAACATGAAGATTTGCTTCTTTTAAAGAGATTTTTTTTTTTGTTTAATCACTGAAAATGTTGATCATTTCGAGTTTCAAATAAACAATTCTCATCTTTGGCTCAGAGAAGTTGAGAAGGGCATTTTTCATTATTTTGAAATTTTATGAAGTAATGATGTGATAACAAAAATAATCACTTAATTAAAAAAAAAAGATACTGCTCATCATTAGCTGCAGTCCTTGTATATTGTTCTTATAAATGTCTCTGAATATGAGACAAAGATCTCACGTTAGTAATCGGCGACAGTAAAGCTGCAACAGTAAATCAGAAAATTTAATCTGCATTCACTATGACCTTTCAACTACTGGGGGACAGTCACGACTGTAAGGCAGTAACACTGCAGACATAAAGCGCAGTGCTGGTCTCAGTCAGCCCTCTAAGGTGCAGCTATAGGACAGGAGGGAGGAATAAGGTGTAGCTACATCAGTGAGATAACACTGCCCCCTGTATCTTCACCACAGTATCCAAGACCTTTGTGGCACAATACTGTTTCTCACTGAGCAGGAATATCTGTGGTTAACGTGTGCTTTTCGTCTCATCTCTGAGCTTTCCGCATTACAACAAACAAATCATAAATCAGCCCGGAAAAAAAAAGTACAAGGTCTTAGAGGAGGGAGAACTTCCACTGCAAGCAGCTCATCACTGCTGTACGCCACATCTGCTCATCGATAACAATGTTCTCACTGTACTCAGCAATGTCCAGCGATGTGATCCCAGCTTTACGCCTTCATAATTAAAATCCCACCGGAGAGTATTACAGCGGTTGTGGAGGAGATGATAGTGGTTGGACTGTGATAAGTCCAGCCATTCTTGTCTTTCCTCTCCTGTTGTTGGCAACTTAATGACCCTTCGCTCTCATCAAGGCCAAAGTAGATGTGGTGGGGGCAAGAGTCAGGATGGTGTTATTAAAGGAGTCAGAGTTTTACTCTACTGTGGCTCAGACGTGGGAAAAAAATATGCATGACTTAAAAATATAAAAGTATCTGATGCATACACGATGTTTAAATTCCAAAGGAAGTGAGAGTGCTCTCCTTACAGAG